CCCCCCCTCCTGGCGAGTCGCAGCCCTGCCCGGGGAGGGGAGGCACCAGCCTGCGGGCTGGGAACAGCCTTTGCTGGGTGGGGGATGTGGCCATTGTCCTCACCAGCTGGGCACGGTCACCTCGGCCTGGCCCCCCTGAGCAAGAGGAGGAGGAGGGTGGGATGGGGCAGCACCGGGATCTCCAAGCGGGTGTTTCCCTTGGCAGTGGGCGGGCGTGCTGAGCCGGCTGGCCCTGGAGCAGGAGCGCATCCTGAACCCCGTCCTGGACCGCGTCCGCACCGCCGACCACCACCAGCTGCGCTCCCTGACCGGCCTGATCCGCAACCTGTCCCGCCACGCGCGCAACAAGGACGAGATGTGTGAGTGCTGGGGGGAGCCCCGTGGGCACCTTCCTCCCGCTGCCTCCTTGGGCTGGCCTCCAGCTGGGTCTCAGCACCTTCCTGTCCCCTGCATCCCTGCTCCCAGCCGAGCACGTGGTGGCTGGTTCATCCCCTGTCCCCAGGAACCCAACACTTCTCCCATGTTCTGCTCTATCTCCAACCCCACCATCTCACTGGGCTCTGTCCTCATTACCCAAGTCCTCTCCAAGGTGCCAAGGAGTCTCAGTGGAGATTCCAGAGATCAAAGGGCTTGAAGATACCCCTGGTGCTACCCATGGGTCCTTGTCTGGTCCCTCTGTCACCAGGAGTTTGCAGGGCTCACCCCAAGGCTGCTGCATATCCCCTGGGTCTGGCTACCAACCCTGACATGTTGCCTTTGCCCACCAGCAACCAAGGTGGTCAGCCACTTGATCGAGAAGCTGCCAGGGAGTGTTGGGGACAAGGCTCCGCCCGTCGATGTCATTGTGAACATCATCGCGGTCCTCAACAACCTGGTGGTGGAGAGTCCCATGGCTGCCCGGGACATTGTCTACTTTGATGGCCTCAGGAAGCTCTTCTACATCAAGAAGAGAAGGGACAGGTGGGAGCTCCCTGTTCACTCAGTTCCAGTCCTGCTCTCCCCTTTCTCCCCTGCCCCAGCCAGATGGAAGAGGGTCACAACCAGACTCCCTTCCCAAGGCTCAGACCAGCTCAGGGTGGCCTCGTGGCCACTTCCCAGCCCTTTGCCACCTCCTCAGGACACCCCATCCCAGGATTGCCCATTGCTGCAGCCACCATCTTCCCTCTCCTGCCACCCTGCCCATTGTGGTGGGCTCCAGCCTTTAGTCTTCTGGCTTTGCCCACCAGCACTAAGTCCTCATCCCCTCTGGGTCCTCCTGGGGTGGTATTCTTGGGCTGGTGGCACCGTCCCATGCCCAGCAGTACCCAAAGGTGATTGCATCCTGTCCCTGTCACAGCCACTTGATCGAGAAGCTGCCAGGGAGTGTTGGGGACAAGGCTCCGCCCGTCGATGTCATTGTGAACATCATCGCGGTCCTCAACAACCTGGTGGTGGAGAGTCCCATGGCTGCCCGGGACATTGTCTACTTTGATGGCCTCAGGAAGCTCTTCTACATCAAGAAGAGAAGGGACAGGTGGGAGCTCCCTGTTCACTCAGTTCCAGTCCTGCTCTCCCCTTTCTCCCCTGCCCCAGCCAGATGGAAGAGGGTCACAACCAGACTCCCTTCCCAAGGCTCAGACCAGCTCAGGGTGGCCTCGTGGCCACTTCCCAGCCCTTTGCCACCTCCTCAGGACACCCCATCCCAGGATTGCCCATTGCTGCAGCCACCATCTTCCCTCTCCTGCCACCCTGCCCATTGTGGTGGGCTCCAGCCTTTAGTATTCTGGCTTTGCCCACCAGCACTAAGGCCTCATCCCCTCCGGGTCCTCCTGGGGTGGTATTCTTGGGCTGGTGGCACCGTCCCATGCCCAGCAGTACCCAAAGGTGATTGCATCCTGTCCCTGTCGCAGCTCGGACAACGAGAAGTCCTCCAGAGCAGCAGCAAGTCTCCTGGGCAACATGTGGCAGTACACCAAGCTCCACCGGGACTTCAAGATGGTAAGTACCACCCTCGGGTGCTCCTCCAGCTGGCGCGGTCCTGGGGTGCATCCTGAAGGTGGATCCCAAGGGAGTCAAGGCTGGGGGCTTCACCCTGGAAAGCTACAGCACCTAAATGCTTCCAGGCATATGACGGGCCCCAGCTCCAAGCCTGCCCCTCCTGTGAAGGGGTGGGGATCATCCCTGTTGTGACAGTGACATCAGGGCTTGGGGACAGCCACATGCCCAGGGTGGGGAGAGTGTGGCCCTGCAGGTGTTTGTGTTGATGTTCCCACTGCCCCGTGAGACGTGGGCAGGGGTGTCCTGGGCAGGGAAGGTGATGGCACTGGCGTCCCCCCCGTGTGATGGGTGGCCTTGTCTCCTTGCAGAAGGGGTACCGGAAGGAGGACTTCCTCAGCCTGTGAGGACACCCCTGGAGCCACCTCCCGGCCCTGGCTCACCCCACCAGGATGCTCCTGCCTGCCACCCCTGCCCTGGAGGCTCCTCTCTGCCGACCCCAGCTCCATAGTGTAGTCCCTGCCGCGTCCCTCACACCTCCCCTCTCTGCCAGGTCCCCCTTCCCCGGGCTGGGGGACGTGTATCCCTCCTCCTGCTGCAGCCTGAAACCTACTGACTGCTTTTGGCTGTGCCCCCTGGGACCCCAGTTAGTGGGGGGCAGTCCCACAGGACCCAAGGGTCCTCAGCCCCAGGGACCCTGCCTGCTCCTGGGGAGCAAAGCTCAGCTTGCCTGGTGGCTCGGTGGTGGGGCAGGAGCTGCAGGGCTTGGGGAGGGGCGCTCCGGGGGGCACCCCAGCCCACCCCCCGGAATTGTGGTGCACTGGGGGCCAGTGCCACCCCCTCCGGAGCCGGGCACGTCGTGGGGTTCACCCACTCAGCCCCAGCTGGCACCACCCCCAGCTTTGCAGAGCTCAGGGGGGGTGGGACAGCTGAGGTGGCTTCCCGGAGAGTTGCGGGTGGCAGCGCGGCTGGTGCGGTGCCGTGTCCCCCCTTCGCCGGGGCTGTGACTGAGGCTTCACCCGCCGCGACAAGCCGGGGGGCTCAGAGCCACAAGGGCCCCACCGAGCAC